CAAACTACCATGGCTCGACTGCTTGTCATATTCGACCCCTCCTACAGTACTCATCTTACTTATTTCCCTACCTTTGTGTCTGTCTGCCTCGTGAATCGCTCTTCTGTTCCCCACCCCTCGACTTTCTACTACTTTAATGAACCTTCCTTCTGTGAAGTCCGAAGTCAGCTAAATGGCTGATGATAGCTATCATAACGCCTGCCATTTGAAATAAATAAGTAAATACTACCGTCAAGGCACCATTCACATCCATCCCGCACTCTTGAAGTAAAATATATCTCCTTCTCTTTCACTATTCAAGCCGTCGATTTCTCTCCTCCGTGCAGTTGTAATGAAGGTTGATCGAATAGAGATTGTGAGGCCTGAGGAATAGCTAAAAATAAGCTATCAACAACCATGTTATATGCATTACCTATTGTTAGTTCTTGTATTAAAAAGTCTGTCTCGTTTTAATCATGCATAATTTCATTCGCTCACTGTCTGGTCTACTTATCTTCTCAATTTATTGTTTGCTTTGCTGTACCATTAAGATTTTATGGTGATTGGATGAAGTTGTTACCTCTAGTATTTCTGCTTTAAATGCGAGTGTTTTCCCAGTTAATGCCAATTTGTAATTTAATTTTTTTTAGAATTTTTGGATTTCGGAGTCAAAATTAACGAGTCATTTTCGAGGTTACATGATTGATGCTCAATTTCGAGCATCCTGCAGTATGGTTGGCCAGCCACATTGGTTAAAAGTCGTGTCAATTGGCAGACTAGAAATACTATGCCACATCTATTGGCGACTTGAAATCACTCTGTTTAGTCGATTTGATATAACAGATATGCGTGTATATATGAATTCATATGAGTTTTGCGTGAGATTATCACCCGTTTATTTAAACCCACATATGTCAAAATTTTCGCCATTAATACGCAAAATCATTAAGAAGGAAATATGACACTTTTCGGCACCAAAGTAGAATTTGTATAAAATCTATGAATTAATTTCGTTACTCTATCACCAAATTTTTGGATTATTAATCTTTTATACTCATGGTTGGAAGCCTTCTCACCAACCAAGTGAGATAATCAGTAGCATACCCTCGAGTTGGAGATAGACCTTGAGTTATAAATATCCGAGTTTTAGCCACTGTAGCTGTTTTGTGCGATCTAGATTATGTGACTACATAGTAGAGCTAATAGAATGTTACAATTTTTAACTGTGGGAAGCAATTAAAATTCTCCAACAGAAGTTCAAATCAAAGAGAGATAAAGGGAAATGGGAAGTGTGGGCGGTGGGAGATATGTATTGAGAACAAAGTCAAGGTATCAAAGTGTCTTAAATCATTTTTGATTTTGAATTGGCTAGGTCATATTCTGAAATACAACTTTCATGATTCGTCCTCTGAATTACTGGTGAGGAGGTTGTTCTTTTTTTGTCCAGAAGGGTCAATTTTGTCACATCGATTCGCTCTATCATCTTAGCGTTGTATGAAATTCCGATGCGTTGTGGCCTTAGTATAGGCAGGGTAAGTTAATTCAACCAAATCTTTTAAATTTTGACGAAGCTCAGTAAGCTGTGTTCACCCAAGCTTGACTTGCATATATTTTTTCGATCACCGATCCACAAATCGAAATTTAGACAGATGTTTCATTGGTGTTATCTCAAAGTGTCCCCTGAAGTAGTTCACGTTGAATATTATTGTCAACTTTGTGTGTCTCTCACCTTTTGATTTGATTGTTGTACATGTGAAGATACAATCTAATCGCAAATACCAAAAGAGTAGCTATTCTTTGTGCTAACATTCGCATGCGATTGTAATCCTAATCTGGCAGTGTTCAAATGAGTCTTGCTTCAATAAAGTCCTTTTTTTAATCCTATGATTCTAGCTATTACAAAGCGCCTTCTTGATTGAAATCTTTCTTCTCATTTGTAAGTGGAGTGCTTATTTTTTCCACGAATATCTGCGTCATCCCTATTAATATTATCTCTCGCTTTGCATCATTGCATTGCATCGTTGCTGTCTTGATCTTATTACTCTTTGCTCAGATCAAGCCTTGACTTCAATATTTATATTTATTTATTTCAAATGACAGGCATTTTGATAGTTATCATTAGCCCTTTAGCTGACTTCAGGCTTCACAGAGGAGGAGGATGAGGAACATCAAAGTGACAAAAATTCGAGAGGTGGGGGGGACAGAGTAATTATTCACAGATGTAGAAGAGACAGACAGGTACAAATGTTGAGATCTTCTGAAGTGGTCGAATATGACATACAGTGCGGTGATGGTAGTTAGAAGTCAGAAGTCAACTGCCAGTTAATAGACTTTTTTTGCCGTATGAGCATACGTTTCCCAGGATGCACCACGTGGAGGTAAGTCCATCGTGCACCCCTATAAATGATAAAGAGAAAGGAATCAAATTGACATCGGGAGCAAGGCTATGGTATCAGAGTTTTTTATTTTGATCGTATAGCAATAACTGAAGTAGTATTTCACGATTGACAAATCAACTTACAGGATTATTTTCCCCTGGATTGAATCAAATACTTCATCTCAATGTCCACTGCTCGGTAATGGGTCGATTATTCACCACAGTCAATCCTGCCTCCCCAACGCACTCTTTTCCTCCAATTTCTGAGAAGGCACTAGAGACCCGAATGAGCAGTGAAAATGCATTAGCTCTTATAGTAATAATCCTCCTAAATGTTTTAAAATTCGCCATAAAATCTTAACACTTTTTCCACATTTTAGGCTACGATTTTAATGCTATTTCAGTTTTTGTTCATAAAGCTGCAACCATCTGCTTTATATGTGTCTCTCTAAATTTCCATAAAAGTGCACTTCGCTTTAATGTGAAAAGACAATGCTTGGGGCTTATCACCTAGACTAGATTAGCGTTTCGTCTTTTTTTAAAAAATGATGTCTTTGAGCATAAATGTTTGCCGTTTTAACTTTGAAAGATAACCGAGAGGTTAGAATCGCTCTCTTTTTTGCATTCTTTGTGATCATGGCTTATTGAGAGCAAATTCCTCTCTAAAGCAGAGGATTAACGCGTCATCTTATTTGAGTTTAGAGTGAATGTAAGGTAATATCAATAAATCGATTTGGTGGGCGTAATCTCTTCCATGAAATTGACCTAACGAGAAAATAGGCGACTCAGCTATTCTAAATTTCACATAAAGTACTCTTAATAATCTGATTTCGCTACTACATCTTGTTCTCCTCACTCAATTCGTTTGGTTATGTACTTATTTACTGTTGATACAAACCCGCTCGAATTTTGCATCGTCTTAGGTAATGCTAGAAATGAGGACCGACGTCAACCATACGCCACGGAGTTGATTATTCATTTTCTAGAGTGGGGCTTTGGAATATGCCTAACATTCTCTAATGCTGAGAGTTGGTGAGGGCTTTCAGAATCCGATAAAAAGGAACAATAGTGTAAAGTGGCAAGGCTTTTCATAAAATTTGTCCTCCGTCACATTTTTGAAAACTGTCACAAAATCTCGCAAGGGAGCGTGTTTCAACAATTAAGAGTAGAAGTGATGGATCGCTTTCGAAGTTCATGAAATTCCTGCTTAACTTAAGAACCGAAAGAGCCAATGGTTGTATTAGAATATCTAAAAATTAATTTTCAAGTAACAGGTATCCTTCCACCTTTAATTATTCCTTGATAATAGCATATAAAGTTGTGGCAGAATGTACTTCTAAAGATATATTCTTTAAGGCACTAATTTCACAATAAATATTCTTCTTCACACTGCTAGAAATGTGGTTTTTTCACTCTATTCTAAAGCATTTTCACTTCAACACAATGTCATTTCTCAATACTACTGCTAGTGTTTGAGCATAATAATAATTTTTCAATTGTATTTTTTGTTTTTTTTTTAACTAATGTATTAATACCCGTTCATTGTTACTTCCTATTTATCCACTCAAGTTAAATGAATCGGTTGATTAAAATGATAAAAAGAAAAATTGTTTTAAATTCACTAGTCTTCGGCTTGTTCACGTGTGTTTTGGATGGTAATATTGTAAAACTCCATAACACACGAATACCTGATGTAAAATTATTCCAATTGAAGGAGAATGTAATTTGATTTAATTGTTAGATGTCTATCGAAAATCTGTATTGATAAAGAGTATAAGGCGGTGAGTTGTTATGAGGACAGTTGAGGAGAAGTGGTGAGGCTCAGTCAAAGGTGTTAGAAATATTTATTTATTTATTTCCAATGGCAGGCTTTATGATGGTTATCATTAACCCTTTAGCTGACTTCAGGCTTCTCAGAGGGGAAGGAACATCAAAGTGACAAAAAGACGAGAGGGAAGTCGAAGAGTGGAGACCAGAAGAGTGTTTCAAAGAGTGGGGCCATGGTAGTTTTAAGTCAGAAATCAGCTGCCAATCAATAGACTTTTTTGCCGTATGAGTATACGTTGCCCAGGGTGCACCACGTGGAGGTAAGCCTTTCGCAGACCCCGTACTTTTCAATATTAAGTGAAAACTTGATATTGGAAAATACTTTTACGAACGGTTGACAATGGGTTTCGCATAAGACCCTATGGAATTGTAATTTTGTAATAATCGAAAATTTAAATAAAAACTGTTAATCAGAACCTGAAAGGAGTAATTCCTTTTTGCCTTCCAGGTGAGAATTCTGGAGTCTTCATACGATCTGATTGTTGATGCACTCTTTGGCTTCGGATTCCGTCCACCACTGAGACCAGAGTTCGCCGATGTTATTCAGCGCATTGCCAGCTTGAAGGTTCCTCTGGCATCCATCGATGTGCCATCTGGTGAGTGATTGTTCCGTATATTCCAACTTCTTTCTCCTCTTCTTTGGAAAGCTGCCTCTAACAAAACTACTTTATCTTAAGCAATTAGGTGATGATTTTCTTGCATTGCATTTTTTAACAAAAGGGATAAAACTTCTTTAATTTCCAAAACTCCGTAATTATGAAGGCAAAAGGAGTGAACTTTGCGTATATTGTCTTAATGATCCTCAGTTTCTTCTGCTAGTCCTTTAATCAAGGAAACGTTCAGATCTCTTTAATTAAATAAATTTCGATCTCCTATCTTGTAAAATCAATTTCTTGTTATCCAATTCTTCCTTCGTCTTTATGGGAATATTTCTTGATAAATAGAACTGTTGACGACAAGCTTTAACTCACATTCTGGAGACTTATTTGATCCAATCCTGTTTTTTAATCTTATAGCAATTGTATTTTTGGTGGAAAGTGCGTTGACTCAAGATTGTCGGGTTTTTTTTTGTCTCGAAATGAGCTATTACTGTCATTTAATGGGCGATTTCATTAAGAGGTTAATACAAACGGGGTACTAAAAAACTTCCTTTCTCCTTCGGGGAAGAGGTGCTAAAATCCTGTCATTCTACAAACTCCACCTAGACAAAATTGAGTTGGAAAAGGACGAGAGCATTATAGCCAATCAGCTAGTTGAAGAGAACTAGATAACCGAAATTAATCAATATTGTCTGTAACATTGTCTTGTAACATTCAGTATGCGCTACATTATTGACCACTTTACCCAGTTACGACGGGGTTAAAAGTCAAGTTAGATGTTAATTATTTATCTAAATTTTGCCTCATGCATCAAAGGGAAAGGCTAGCTTTTCTTAGTTGAGAAAGAAAGCTGCAAAAAGTCTCTGCGCATCATGGACTGGCATTTCGCTGAAAAGAGGAAGTTTGAATTTCTAGAACGCGAGTTGCTCTCTTACTAAATATTACACAACACAAAGCGAAAAATCAAGTGAAAAAGAGACTATTTTATATCATGGCCTCACTCTCAGTATGGTTCGATCCCCTCATATTTATCATTTATTGAATTTTCAGTTGGTCAATTCCAGTTACCTCAAACAATCAAAAAGATTGCATTGTTTGTGTGAATCTGATAAATGACGTTCCAAAAGAGATCAAGCGGGCAGAATGATAATTCATCCTCGAGCGTTTATCACACGTTACGATTTATGGGCATTTTTCGAGGTGATTGTGAGCACTAAAGGATAAATGTTTTGGGGGTGGATCTGTGAACATAAAAGACGAGCGTTCTTAGGCGGTTTGCCTCGTATCAATAGAGTTTGCAATCACTGACTAAATGAAAATACAATGAATGGAATTGAGCGTGTAGTGTTAAACCTGAATGTGGGACTGATGCGGTGCTAGATGAATGACAGTTAGAATATTGTCTCTCAATCCACATAAACGGAGTGGAATTCGACTTTCATGAATAGACAAAGTTAGTGAATGCTATTTTTACTGTCTCCTGCTGGTCCAGTCCCCTCTCTCACTTGAGAAGAATGAGAGCTTGTTTTAGTGAGATTTGTCTATAAAAGGGGTGGGGTTTGGGGAGGAGGGGGGGAGCGATAATTGAAAACATTTATTTTTAGACCATTAATCCCCGCAATTTGATAAATATCTCGAGGACTAGATGATTAATATTTGCATAATCGCATTCATCCCTTTAATTATTTTAAAATCCGCCTCCGACTATCCTAAAGCTGCTCACCTTATGTTGAACATTGAAAAATCGACTTTCGACAAAAAATTTTCTGTAGGGACCGGGTTTATGTCCTTATAACATCGAGGAACAGACTGTTCGAATAGGGGAACAATGATCTCTCATTCTGTGTTCGTGGGCTAGCGATCATAGCCTAGGGTCAAGAGATCTTGTTATATTGGTAAAGAAAACAATTTCGATTAATATCGATAGATAATTGGTCAGTTAGAAACTCGTTAATAATTACTTCTTAACTCAATGTGGGTTCCATTTTAGTAAGCTTATCATTTTATTTGGCAATTATTCGAATTAAAATCGTAAATGGACGAAATGTGTTAACCGAACTCCTTTGTTCCATTGTTGGATCTAAATGAGGGAGCTCTACTTGAACTCTTTTTATTTCACCTTAACCAACTTGCTTCTGTCGAAATCTTGCAGGACCTATTGAGGCTAGAAGGATAAACTGATCAATGCTTTGCTGCATGTTTGTATTTAGTGAATCGCTTCAAAATGGTTGACCCATCATATTGCTCATTCAATGGGGTATAGGGTTGGAAGATTTAAAGTCGTTTTTAATTAAGAGAAGAGAATGTAGGGGCTGACCATCTTTATAGAATGCACCAAGGAGAAGGGGAAGGTTTATTGTCGAATTTTTTTCTTAGGGCTTTTTCTTTAATGCTAAAGATTTCGAGGATCTTTGTTGAGGCTTAGTTTTTTGAAGATTCGACATGCCAGAAATAGAATGAAAAGAATTACGCAATCTTCTGGAGGATATTTGAAAACAACGTACCTAGAGAATTCAATATTTCAGTAAAAATGTATGTATGTAGGTCCACTTTAATGTGCCCCATATGCTCAAAATATTCAAAAACTTTGTATCTCTACCAGTGGACTGCGACCGTAACTATGTAGATATGAATAGCGCATAGTACCTCCACGTGGTGCACCCTGAGCAACGTATATTCATACAGCAAATAAGTCCATTAACCGGTAGTTGACTTCTGACTTCAAACTACCCCCACTGTATGCCATATTCAACCCATTTCACAGTACTCATCTTACCTTTTCTCTGCCTTTGTGTCTGTCTGTCTCTTTCATATCTGTGGATCACTCTTCTGTCACCTCTCTCGATTTTTTCTCACTTTGATGTTCCTCCTCCTCTATGAAGCCCGAAGTCAGCTAAAGGGCTAATGATAACTATCAAGACACCTGCCAGTTGAAATAAACAATTAAAAGCAATGCAAGTGATGACTCGAGGAGTGTGAATTTTGAAATCTGAATTGC